GCAACCCAACCTAGTTGACTGGAGATCCCAAGATCTAGGTTCAAAGGGACAACCTAACTTCGTGTAACGGGTGAGTCACTGAAGAGGTAAATCCTCTTGCCTATTCCTTTACACAGTGATGCCCTGTGGGGGTGGAAGGTTAAGCTAATGCTTTTAATGACCTTAGTGATGTGGTATAATGAAATACCGTATCTAGGTCACCTATGTGAGTGTGAAGTGGGGCCGCTTCTTTAAGAAAGGTCACAAGCCTTCATATAAATACCTACGAATGTGGGGGTGCCTTGCAAAAGTGGCGGTACCTACACCCAAGCGGGTTAGGATAGGTCCGAAAACCGTGGACTGTATTTTCATTGGTTATGCACAAAATAGTAGTGCATATAGATTTCTTGTGCACAAGTCTGATATTTCAGATATACACAAGAATACTATCATGGAATCTAGAAGTGCATCTTTCTTTGAAGATGTATTTTCGTGTCGTCCCTAAGACAGGGTTCCGAGTTCCATGAAAGAAATAGATGATCATGAAGATGATCACATAGATGATCACATGGATGATCAAACAGCTGATGAAATAACTGATCAAGTAGATGATCAAGCTGATGAAGTAGATGAGCTAAGAAGGAGTAAAAAGGCTAGAGCCACAAAGTCCTTTGGCCCAGACTTCTTGACTTATATGTAAGAGGGAGAACCTCGAATGTTCCATGAAGCTGTGACTTCACCTGAAATTCCTTTATGGAAAGAAGCAATTAAGAGTGAGATTGACTTCATCTTACAGAACCATACTTGGGAGTTAGTTGATCTATCCGCAGGCAGTAAGGCCTTGGGGAGTAAGTGGATCTTTCGAAGAAAGTTGAAAGCGGATGGATCAATTGACAAATACAAGGCAAGACTTGTGGTCAAAGGATTTAGACAAAAAGAAGGTCTTGATTACTTTGACACATACTCACCGGTTACTAGAATAACATCCATTAGAATGCTAATTGCCATTGCATCTCTATACAATCTAGAAATTCATCAAATGGAAGTGAAAACCACTTTCTTAAATGGTAAGTTAGATGAAGAAATTTACATAGAACAACCAGAAGGTTTTTCAGTTCCAGGAAAAGAAAAGAAAGTGTGTAAATTGGGTAAATCATTATATGGTTTAAACAAATGCCAAAGCAATGGCATGAGAAATTTGACAAGGCAATAATGTCAAATGGATTCAAAATTAATGAGTGTGACAAATGTTTTTATATTAAAAATACAGACAAAGGTTATGTCATTGTATATCTTTATGTAGATGATATGCTCATCATAGGTAGTAATAATGATATGATTAAAACTACCAAGAAAATGTTAAATAAACATTTTGACATGAAGGACATAGGCATTGCTGATGTAATTCTTGGTATGAAAATTACCAAAACATCAGAAAGATATGCTTTGTCACAATCCCATTATATTGAGAAAATACTTGACAAATTCAGGAAAGATGATGATCATCTTGCTAGAACACCTGTAGATGTTAATTTGTTTCTATCTAAGAATGTACAGGAAAGTATTTCTCAATTAGAGTACGCCCAAATTATTGGAAGCGTAATGTACTTGATGAACTGCACTCGCCCGAATATGGCTTATGCAGTAAGTAAATTAAGTAGATACACGAGTAACCCAGCAGTAGAACACTGGAAAGCAATTATAAGGGTTTTTAGATATCTCTGATTTACTCGTAACATTGGGCTTAATTATACTAGATATCTAGCAGTACTTGAAGGATACTGTGATGCAAATTGGATATC